TTGCTTTAGTAGCCGCAGCATCGCATTGCAGGCTCATGTTCATCTTGTGGTCAATGATGACCCCCAAGTCTCTTTCTTCCGTAGCGCTAGCCAGTGTAGCACTGCTAAGCCTATAAGGATGCTGCAGGATTTTCTTCCCAAGGTGGAGAACCTTGCATTTTTCGGTGTTAAACACCATGAGGTTCTTGTCTGCCCATTTGCTGAGCCTGTCTTCTGGCGTGGATGCTTTGCCCCAAAGTTTGGTGTCATCGGCGAACTTGGCCAGTCCGCTCCTGACTCCAATGTCCACATCATTAATGAAGATGTTGAACGATATGGGTCCGAGGACAGAGCCAATGGGTCCAAGGACAGAGTCTTGCCCCTAGCCTGGCAATATCTTAAGAAAAATGTGGGTCTGAACTCTTACAAGCTGAGAAGGAGTTAAAACTCAAGTCTCTCACTTCCTCGGTAGCCGCTCTGATCATTAAGCACTCGTTAAGTTGGCACCAGTGGGTAAACCATCAGGCTGTTTTTGAATGAAAGCAGCCAGGATGACAGTTAAATTAGCTCTGTAACTGTGTTAGTTACTTGGGTTGAAGGGATGTTTGTGAATTCCAAAACTGACTAAGGCGGGGTGGGCAAAATGTGGCCTGGGGGCCAGATGTGGCCTGCCAGGCCATTCTATCCGGCCTGTGGGGCCCCTAAAACATTTAGAAAATTAATATTTATCTGCCCCTGGCTGCCTGTCATGCAGCCCTCAATGGCTTGCTAAAACTCAGTAAGTGGCCCTCCACTCAAAATAATTGCCCACACCTGGACTAAGGTATGACATGGGCACAATGCTGCTGAACTCTGCCAATGTGGCTGAGCCTCTGGGTGCAGGCAGCTGTGGAACTTAAGGTGTCTAGGAAACTTTACTGGGGAAGCCTGCAAAGTCTCATTTATATACATACTTTTTTGTCCCATGACATGCAGGTGAACTGAGTCCAGTTGTATAAGCGGAAAAATACGCATCAGTGCACAGAAAATGGCAGCAGTGCGCTTTTGAACTAAACCACCTTCTATGCAATTTAGTTCAAAAGTGCACCGCTGCCATTTTCTCAGCGCTGATGCACATTTTGCTATCTATACAATTGTAAGCAGTGCAGTGCCAGGCACTTTTCAAAGTACCTGGTGCTGCAGCACTTACATGTGTAAAAATGCCCTCAGGTGCTTGACTGTTTAATCAGGAGGTTTATGGATGACAGTCTTGGACACAGGCACCAAACTCCATGTAAATGCTTTTTGTGGATCTAGGTTCTATGCATATTCCAGATCCCAATATCTAAAGCAGAGACAATCTTTTCTCCTCACTTTGCCTATTTTAAGTACCTCTTATACTGTTGAGGATGCTATTAATTTTTATAACAGTCAAGCTATGGAGATACTGGATAAGTAAGCACCTAGGACAGACATTTATTTCTTTAAAGGCCTATCACTATGTTGAATCTCTGCCAAGAGCAACCAAGTACCTGTACACTTAGCTCCTATTACAGCTCTGATATCAGACTGGACTTGGGGTGGATGTTAAAGTATTAAATAGTCAAATATAAATTGGAAATACTTAATTCTGGTGATACTGGCTCACATACAAAAACGTCTAGTTTTGGGTAGGGATTTTTTTCCTGAAAGGAGTATTCAGACAGTGTCTAGGCTAAGCACAGACATATAAAAAGCCCAAGCTTGAATTGATTCAATCTTTGCAGGTTAGTCTAACCCATGTAGATTGAACTGAGAAACAAGTGAACAGACATTCACTTTTGATTCCGGAAATGCGGCCATATGCCTGCAGTGACTCAGGGTAGAAGCTGGGGGGGGGCCACTAGAGCAAGCACCCCGTTCCCCTCCGTGGTGGCCAGAAGGCTGGAGGGAAGCTGAGCTGGGGGGAAGGGATAGTGTGACCAGGCCCTGACAGGCCACTGAGTATGACTGGGGAGGGGTTTAAACCCCAACCGTGGCCTGCAGGGACTCCAGCTGGGGTGTGCCTCAAGTTGGAAGGGGGAAGCAGCCTTTGACATGTTTGTCCCCAAGCCTGGAGGCCCGGTCAGCGCCTCAGGCTCAGGCGCAAGGGCAGGAGGAAGATCAAAGCCACCCTGCCTCCCCTCTCCCATTGGCATGGGACACCACTGTGGGGGCCCCATGGTGCCAGCTGGGGTCCCATGCCAGTGGGAGAGGGGAGGCAGGGGGGGTTTAATCCCCTCCCTCCACTCTGCCTATGCCTGCTGTCCCCCCACACCCCACCCCACTCCAATGGGGAAGTGTCTGGCAGGGGCTTTGCCACCCCCACCAAGCAGACCAGGCTGTCCCCCCAGCCAGGTTTCCCACCCCGACTCCCTTGTCAGCCTGCCCTCACTGCTCCAGCTAGACAGCAGAGGGGCAGGGCCAACCCTGCTCTGCTTGAGCAGACAGCAGAGTCCAGTCCAGCCTAACCCAACCCAGGGCTACAAAGCATCCTGGGATGCTGGGGGACTGTGATTTGACTTGAACTAGGAAGGGGTCTGGGACAGAAGTTCCATATATCGGTTTATCTTAAATCAGTTCAATCTGATACTACATTCAATTAAGTTTATCTTAAACTAGTTTCAACCATTTCAAAACTGGTTTATGTGCACTGAACTTCTGTTCCGTTACAGGTTTAAAAATCAGTTTCTGATTACTTAAACCAGTTTATGTGTAACTTCTGTTCCTAGCCCTAGAGACTGGTTGGGGATCAATTATGATTAGGGGCAATGTATTTTACAGTTTCTTTCAACTTCAGAGGCAGGAAAGATAGAGACCTGGGACCACCCCAAAACCAGGTACAGTAAAGAAAACTGGTTTGGAAGAGTGAGATGGGAAGTTAATGTTACTTTCACTTTTAGATGGTGTTTCAGAAGAATCTTTGCCATCAACTTTAGGCCTCTGTGTTACTTACATTAATTTCTCGTATATACTGCAAGGAATAAATAACCCCAAGCTTGCAGAGTGCTAGGAAGACAGGAACTTGTGCATCTGGGCTGGCTTCAGCTGCCATGTCATAGAAGCGTTTTGCAAGGTGAATATCCTGCAATGTATAGAAGAGACACTGAAATCTATTTCCAAACAGAGAAAAAAGTTGGAATATTTAAACTAACAGATGAGAAACAAAGGTTTCTTTATACTGTAAGCAGTTTTATGCTATGAGCTAAGACATTTTGTCTATTTGACAGATAAAATCCAATGATCCTATTTCATTAAAACACTTTCTGAAGAACATATGGTAGAGTTTTGAGACCGTTCAATTTGACAGGCAAATTTTATTTATTACATGCTCAGACAATTACCCAGGGAACTAGTTATGGTAGTACCTTATATACACCACATCCATGACACAAATGTAAAAAAATAGAGATACATCCTTTTCTTCTACTGTTATCTATTAGCTCTGAGGCACCTTAGTAGGTTCCTACTAAATATGCCTGTAGTGTCTATCACAGGCAAATCTTGTTTAATATCTCTTAGATTATTATAAAATGCTTATTAATACTACACTATAAATACGACTATTCTCACCACATTGACTCACCTGTTTAATACCCAGTCCTTTTTCATGCATGTACCCCAGGTTAAACATGGCTTGGGCACTATGTTGTTGCTCTGATGCCAGTCGGTAGTGAATAAATGCAGTTTCATAATCAACATCTGTACCAAAGCCATAGAAGTGGTAATCGCCAAGTTTAATTCTTGCAACAGTGTAACCTAAAACACAATACAAGTGTAAAAGCCCAGAGAAACATGCAAAATACCAAGATATACTAAAACGGACTCATTTAGTAATTTAGCTGTGATCCCTCAGCCCTGGGAGTACATGGGGCACTCCTGCGGTTATGAGCCCCTCATCTAAAGGGACTCCCAGCTGTGGGAGCTTACTTCCTGCTGGTGCAGGGGCAGCCCAATACTGGGCTGCCCCTGCACCAGCAATAAGGCATGATGGGATCTAATGAGCAATTCCATAATCATGCCGCCCGTCATGTACATGTGGCATGGCAGGAAGTGCGAATGTGTGGATTGCACATGAGAGTCCATTGCAACTTTACCTGCACATGTAGAAGGAGGCCGTAGACATTTATACCACTGCATCTACCTTGATGGCTGGCCATTCAGTGGCTACATTATAAATTGGAAACAAGGTCTCAGTAACCAAGTAGTAGGTATTTTCTAAATAGAGACTGAAAGCAAAATTCCAGAGCAGCTGAAGTCAAATCTTAAAAATGGGTCAAAATAATCTAAAAACATACTTTCATCATAACCTATAACCGTGCACTCTACACTGTAGTAGTGTTTACTGGAATGGCAACAGGAAAAATAAAATGGTTCCAAACCTATGCAGAGGATATTCTTCAGCAAATAAAAGTCTTTAATGCTTTCATTTGGAAGGATCCTGTAGTCATAGAATCACAGAATCATAGAAGTAGGGTCAGAAGGGACCTTGTAGATCTTCAAGTCTGATCCCCTGCCCAGGCAGGAGAAAAACTGGGCTTTGCTGGTTGCTCCTGCTCCCCTTTATTACATGTGTCAGGGTATTTTTAAATCTCCCTCAGAAACACTGAGTAACAGCCAAGGCTGGGGATTTTGACTGGGGTGTCTCAGTCTTCGGCAAGCCCTTGCAGTCAAGGATGATAGTTTTCCATGATAGTCTTATCCGCGTCTGAAGATGGCTGATGAGGCCTTTCCAGGATAGACAGACTCTACTGCAGCTCGGATGTGTGTTTCTATGTGGGTGGGTGGCGCTGAATTTTTGATATGGTCTGCGACACATTTTCAGCCACTCCTGCTTTTCCATCTCTTGTTGTCATGAGGTTTCAAAGTACTGAGGTCCTTGCAGCAGACTCTTCCTCCATTTGGGGTGGCCCTGGGTGACAGTCTTTCATGAGTTGACATCGATATTGCATTTTTTAAAGTTGGCCTTAAGGATGTTGTCCCTAAAGCACCTTTTCTGCCCTTCTCTTCAGCATACACACTGGCTGAGCTTGGACAATAAACTTGCTTCAGGAGTCTGGAGTCAGCCACCCAGATGACACAGTCAGCCCAACAAAGTTGATACCAGATGATCACTACCTCAATACTCATGGTGTTTGCTTGCAGGAGGACGCCAACGCTCCTACATCTTTTCTCACTGGATTTGGAGGATCTTCCACTGGCAGCATTGATGGTACCTCTCCAACAACTTTAGCGGTCTCCTGTACATTGCTGCAGCAGAGCACAGGTTGTGCCTAACACTTTAAGGGGTCTAAGCAGGCAGCAGGCAGTGGGAGCAGACCCAATTAGGCAGTCGCATGTTAGGCAGGAGGCTGCCTGATTGGGTCTGCTCCTACCTGCAGGCTCCTTGCTGCCTGTTCAGACCTCTTAAAGTGGCAGGCACAACCTGCGCTCTGCCACAGTTGTCCATGACTCAGCTCCATGCAGCAAGGTGGGGATCATGACTGCTTGATAAACCATGAGCTTGGTTTTGTATTTGGCATTGAGATCTTTCAACACCTGTTTCTTCTAGTGTCCAAAGGTTGCACATGCATATTTCAGGCAATGTTGGCTTTCTTTGATGTCAGTGAGAGATAGCTTCTGAAGTACTGGAAATACTCAACGTTCTCCAGAGTCTTGCTGTGGATCTGGATTACTGGAGCTGGGGACTGTTCATTAGGAGTTTTGCTGGTGGAGGACCTTAACTTAACATTTGGAAGACATCAGTTCCATTTACTTGTATGGCTTGGTAAAGATGTTGATGATTGCCTGAAGATCTGCTTCTGAGTAAATGCACACTACAGCATTATCAGCATACTGGAGCTCAGTGATTGTGGCTGGGGTGGTCTTGGTTTTGGTTCAGAGTCAGCTGAGGTTAAATAGCTTAGCAACCATTCAGTGGTTTAGCTCCACTCCAGCTGGAAGCTTGTTGGTGGTCAGATGCAACATCACAGCACGGAATACTGAGAAGAGTGTTGGAGTGATGATACAGCCTTGCTTAACTCCTGTTTTAACCTCAAAAGGATCTGTAATAGATTCATTACTGAGAACCACCACTCACATACCATTATGGAGCAGGCAGAAAATGGTGACAAAATGAAGTGGGCATCCATACTTCAGAAGGATCCTCCCACAACACTTCTCAGCTGTTTTGTGAGGTCAAAGGCAGCCATGTAGAAAGGCTTATGTTGTTCCTGACATTTCTCCTGCAGGAGCTGCATGTGTGCTAATGCTCCTGAAGCCAGAGGTTTTTGGCTAGATGGTCTTGCCCCTCTACTTGGAGTCAGATCAAATCGCCATATTTGCCAGTCAGAAAGGAATTTTACCCCATGATCAGACTGGTACAGACTGTTAGGGTTTTTGGCTTCCTCTGTAGCAGAGGTATTACCCTCTACCTGGGATCTCTTGAGCATATATTGACATTTCACAGAAGCAGGACATTGGCTGCTGTGGTTCCCCTGCTTTACCTGTGATGGGTTAGGGTTAGGGTCTATGTTGTGTCAGGGTTGAAGACAGCCTTACAGAGAGTTTAGATGATGGTTTGGATAGGGATGATCCTGTCTCAGGCAAGGGGTTGGACTAGATGACCTCTTCCAGCCCTACTTCTCTATGATTCTATGATAAATTATGCTAATGGACAGCAAAATTCCTTGGGGGCAGATGGAAATCTAATTTCTGAGATTCAGGAAAACAGCAGTCCTAAGAGATCCTGCCCAAATGTGATAGTTCTTTAAATATGAGACACTAAAAAAACTGCCTAATCATGCTCAGATTATATAAAAATAGCAGTTTAAAATTCTGTCAAAACAATTAAGAATGGGAAGTCACCAGGACTCAAAGGCTGGCTAGTGGAGGTGACAAATGTAGGACTGCAGACTTGCAAGTGGCTTAATCTTCTCTAATCCTGTCAAGCAATATTCAACCAAATCTTCATACTGAAAACTGGATAAAGAATTACCCTGCAGAGCCACAAGAATACATTAATGAGGGAGTAACCCAGAACATAACCTGTCTTTGGAAAAATATTAATATTTCATAGATTTCATAGACATTTGGGGTGGAAGGGACCCTGGAGGATCATTGAGTCCAGCCCCCCAGTACAGTTTCTAAAGGGCAGAACAAGCTATTCAATAGTACTGAGTTCATTATTTAATAAAATGTTAACAAGTGTGAGTGAAACTGGTAACCATGAACTGCAACTTACCTTGGGAGGCTGCTCTATTCCAATGAAGCAAGGCTCGAGGATAAGTTTCATTCTCTCCAACTATGCTGGCCTCTTCTGCAGAGAAAGTCATTCATTAAAAGTGGGAACATGACATGGAAGCTCCTTACTGTATTCTACACTGTAAATGGGTGAGCATGTGCAAAGACAAACTGTCCTGCTGAACTGGACTAAAGGGCTGAAACTCAAAGTTTACTCTGCCAAAATCTAGCTATATATTTCCCCCTCTGTACTGCTCTGCTGGTGCAAAAGGCACAGGATCTTTAGGTAATCTACAGGTAGTACAGCTGTATCCCTCTCCAACCTTATACCACTTCCTAGGTTCCCAGGTGGGCCAAATATGAAGCAACAGTCCACATCTGGCACAGCATTCACTCCAGCTAGAGAAATCTGAGTAACCTAGCATAGCATCAAAGTTTCACATTTAGCCTATTCCATGTTTCAGCCATGACCAACTCAGTCTTTTTATCAGGGAAATGTGAAGTGGGTCAGGAGACATTCCTTTTGTTAGATCCTGTGCCAACCACTCCTCAGCTGCACCTGGAGGGGATCTAGCCCACTGTGCTCATAAAGAGGCATTTATCTCATGAGGAAAACCTCCAGCAGTGCCACCCAAGTAATTAGGGTATAATTATACCCATCACCTCAATGGCAGTAAAGAATAATTTCAGGTGCTGTGCAACAATATTTGAATCGACTTACAATAAACATAAAAAGTTTATTTGGAGTTTTCCTTGTAAATGTACTGAGAAAGTTACCAAGTTTGATATCAACATGTAATAGTAACTACTGAATACCTCAGAATCCATATAGAATCTTTTCTGCTTATCCCAGAAAAACCTCCTCTGTTCTTCACAAAGCCATAACACATTGTTGAAAGAGGAGCTTTAAACAGCAATAGATTATTGCTCAGGTTCCTACGTGCTTTACACACCTAAAGAGCTTAAATAAATATGCTCCTTTTAAAGCTCTGATAGTACAGTACTGTTGTTTTGGAAGGATGTATAAAATACTTAATGTTGATGAATCAAGTTAGAAAAGTCATCATGGAAAATGAAACAAAGTATATTGATCTTGCAGATGATCTACACATTTTTTAATAATAGCTGCTCTTATTTTAATGGGGATTAGAGGGTTCTCCCGTTCCTTGGAGTCTCGGAACAGCAGAGACTTCCTATGCCTGAAGAATGGTGATTGCACCTGAAAGCTTACTAAGAACTTTTTTCCAACTACTCAGTTGGTCTAATTAGAGATATCACATCTACCCAAAAAAACCTTGCTTCCCTATGTCCTTAGAGCAACACGACTACAACCAAAAACCCAGCAACTCAGATTAGAGTAATTTATGATACACTACCAAGTTTTAGGAGCTAGATTTTTCAGGAATCTTCTGTACCTGTAACAGAGCCAGACTTTCATAAAATTAAATTTCAGTCAGGCACCTATATAAAATGACCAAATATTAAGTACTCAGCAATTCTCATGACAAACAATGGGAGCTGGGCACATTTGAAAATCTGGCTTTAACAGTGTAAATTTTGAACTTGGGTTGTATTTAAAAATGCCTCCTTCCCCCTGAAATTCTGTAACAAATTCGTCTATAGGAATTACTTTATACTTCATATTAAAGTATGCAGGTTCAGCATGAATTCACTCTTCTAGCTGTCTGTTTTGTCTTAGCACACCATCTTTCAGTACAGCTATAGCATCCAATCATCTTTTTGAAGCTTAGTTACTGTACACACAGGCTTCATCCAGACATGGTGTGGATGTTTGGTTCTCCAGGGATAACTAGTAGCCGCGCACCTTGGGCTGCTGCTAGTTGTCCCCGGGGAATGCTGTGTCACGCACACTCTGGCAAGTTACTCTGGGTGGCGTAGGGATGCTGAGACCAGCACTGTACTGGCTCCAGCAGCCTTACCTGGTGTCCTGGGCAGCCTCCTGGGACTGCAGCAGCAGCGATTCTGCCATGCGGAGCCTCGCCAGCAGCTGCAGTACAGCTCAGCTTTTGAGTAGCACGTGCTGTCCCACATGTGCTGTTCTGTTTTTTTGCCTATGGGTTTTTCTGACCCCTGGATATTCAAGGCTCAAAAAATCCCTGTGTGCTGCTCCCTTGCAATGTGGAAAACAGCTGAACATGTGGCGTGTGGCACTGCAGACGTCTGTAGCACCACATACCACATGGCCATGCTCATCTGGACATGGCTACAGGGTGCATCGATCTACACATGCACTTTACTACAGAGCTGACTAACTAGCTCAACAGTAAAGTCACTGGCTACATGTGTGCCCATATTAGGTGGCAGTTAACTCCACTGTAGGATAGTACTGTCCGGGACAAGTACTATCCTATAGTGGAGTAGTTACACGCACCAAAACACCTGTGTAGATGGTGACTGGGGCTGGCTGGGACACAAGGGTGCTACAGTGTGGGGGCTACCTGCTGCCTTGCCCCACACTAACACCCTTGTGCTCCAGCCAGCCCCTCTGCAGCACACTGAGCTGGACAGGAGCAGCTCTGGGCTGGCAGTGAGCTGGGGCTGCTCTGCCCTAGCTCAACATGCTATGGTCCTGGGTGCATGTGTAAATGCTGCACCTGGAAGCAATAAACTTTGGCACAAACTATACCAGAGTGTATTGCTACATGCTAATTGCATGTGTAGGGTAGTAATAATAACTAGCCTGAAATTATTACAGGGTAGTAATTTCAGAAATGTATTGAAATTCCAGGTTTTACCTGCCATTGTCACAAGTAAAAGATTACTGAGGAACTATTAAGAGGGCTGATAATATAAAAATAAATTATTTTACCTCTGAAGTATTTTTTGCACATTTGAAACACTGCTACCATGTAGTAGTAACTGCATCCACATGTAGGACTGATAGTACAACTGGTATTCTTAGAGATTATAGAAATTAGCCCTCTTGTTTTCTGACAAAATGCCCTCCAGGTCAAGACTCGTATGGCAAGCTTCCAAAACACCTGGCTATAGCTGTATTTTTTTAGGGGTGGGGAGGTGAAGGTCAGTCTTTTAGGTGCTCAGAAAGGTACCTCTTGACAATATTACATGGGCCCAGGAAGGAGGGAGGACAAAATCAAAACTATATATTCTACTAGCAAGTCAATTTGTATGCTTCACGATGTGCTGGCTGCTAGTGGACTATTTACTTAGCTCCCCATCCTTCCTGTAATATGTCCCTATAACTCTGAGTTGTAGCAGACCTTACTATGATCGCCCACTTTCAAAGGAAACTGGATTCAATTATTAAAAGCTTTTCCAAATCTAACAAAGAAGCTTAGCTGCCTGACCAACTACTCATCACATTTTCAAATCAAAAACAGGAGGGCAGCCACACCTGACTAGGAAGTAAAGGACGACCTCTCCTTGTTCCACCCTCTCTCCTCTCATACTGAAGTTAGCCTGATTTCAAATGTTCAATAATCATTGTGTCAGGAAAAAAAAACCCCCAATGATTCTCAAAACATACAAAAGTAGTCAGAATGCCAAAGTATACTTGCTTTCAAAGAAAATCTGCTAATTTAGACCAGCTATTTATCCCCATATTCTTTTGGCAAGGATGAATTACATTTTAAACGGAAACTGTTTGATGATCTAATGCAGCCCCTTACTCTGATCAAGTATGAAGGCAGCGTTGCTTTGTGCCACTTCGTAGCCTTGTTCTGCCAATAAGAGATACTGAACCACAGCAGAATTTGAATCACCATCTTTATAGCTATTGTAGGCAGTCATGAGCCGCTCAGACCAACGCCCTCGTTCACATACATTCTTAAATAACTGCAAGGGAAAAAACAGCAGTAACAACAATATAAAAAGATACACTGTCAGCATTTTTTTCAGAAGAAGCTTGTTTCTATGAGGTACAGCTTTAAGAAGTCTGCTTATGCAGATATACTAGAGGCTGCAGAAGGTGGACACAGTATAACCTAGATACCTCATGGCACAAGTTAATACTCAAGCCAAATAACAGAAGGACTTAAGATGTAAGCAGACTCAAACCAGTAAGTAAAAATGTACTGCATCTGATAATGTACAGGGCTTCATCTGTCATAATTCTGCATGCCAATGATGGTGTCTATTTTAACCTCAGTCATATGGAAAAAACAGCCTAACCCAAGGACAGAAAAGGAAACATGGGAGTCCAAGGCAAGGCAACACAATAACAACAAAACAATGAAAGCTCTACTGCGATCAGGCAGGGCTCTTGTTTTCAGCAAGGCCATTTTTATTTCACGTGTTCACATGCAGGCCCAATACATTTCAGAAAAGCTGATGCCAAATCCACCAGCTACTATAGAACAGAGCTGTATTTTTCTTATTGTTTCAAGCAACAAGCTATAAAATTAAAATCTGCAACTTTTCCTTGCTGGGCATTCAGTACTAAAACAAATGAAATTTTTGTTTTTCTTATTTGCTTTCTTGTTAAATCCTTCTATTTTTTTCTAATTTAAAGTGAAACTATTGCAACATTTCCAGTATGCTATAACAGAATAGCACCAAATCTAGAAGTCTTGTCTTGTATTATCAACCTCTGCTGCATTCCATAAGTTTTATGAAATACAGTCTTCACTTTGCAGGCAAAATTCACCACTGATGTAAGAGGGTACAAATGTTGCCTGTAATAATTCTATCTCAACCAAAGCTAATTTGTAAGTTTATGAAGAGAGGTACTTACTTCAACAGCAGTATGACAGGATCGCATCACTCCAGTGCCAGTAGCATGCATTTGTGCCAAATTATAGAAAGCCAGAATGTGACCACCTTGGGAAGCCAAGTTAAAGTATTTCAAAGCCTGTTTATAATCTCTCTTGACTCCAATCCCATCTACAAAAGAAAGACTAGGTTAACACTATTCATTGGTTTGGATACCCTGCCAAGCAAAATTGCAAATAAAATAAAATGAAGTCTTGTTTTTATAGTTAAAAGTAGCTAAAACAAATTGTTATAAAAATATCAAGTAACATCAACAGTAGCAGGAACATGCTTTACCATTTCCTGAAGAGGAATCGAGTGTACATGCTCAACCCTGGCCTGCAGCATCATGTCATCTGGATCTGGAAGCTTGGCAGTGGGGGAGCAGTGTCCCTGTTCCCCTGCTGCCAAATTTCCAGACTTGTGGGAAACCTCAGAGCTTGAGCGCTAGATTGGGCACCCAATTTCAGCATGCAGGACTGGGTCGGGGGGGG